CTGAAGTTGCAACAAGGTTTCTGAGTTTAGATGGATTTGGGGCTAATAGTTTGTAGCACTTTGTTCAAAAAATGGCAAATTTTGCTGTGGGACACCGCATAAACTTTTAATTGGCTGGCACACAACGCACCGACGCTTCTTTGCCCAGTACCATTACAAATTCTTGGTTATTTGCCAGTAGACACCGCGCCGATTAAAATAAGAACTTCTTGTGTCAGGGAGAGAGAAACTTGATGGAGTAGACGATTTTGCCCCTGCCGGCTTGAGTCGCGTTCGTGGTCTGGTTGAACCACATAAACCAGATCGGACCCGGACCTGGACTCGTCTTCTTTCCCATTCTTCTCGGCCCCATTCTCTCCCTGTCATCCGTCCCCCTTTTGCAGGAACCCTAGTTCCTTAGGTTTGGGCTTCTGGTATGGCATCGAGCTCGCATTCCACCCCCTACGGCGCCCCTCACTCGGCCCCCTTGTCCGTTGAGCCGTACAGGGACCCTGCATGCTTCTTGCCATTGGTTGCTTGCTCCAAGTGCGAAACCAAACTCATCGGACGCGTCTCGTAGAAGACCGGTAGCAAGGGGAAGAGGTTCTACAAGTGTCCACTGCTTGAGCATGTAAGTTTTTGTTGACTTGCTACTGTCATGGTGATAGATATGGTTTTTTTAAGTTCAAGTTGTCCCATCTATGGTTTGTAGACCGATTTTGCTTGTGGCACATACATGTTTGAAGAACAGTATGTGGAATACTTGGTCGCCCAAGGCCACCTTCCTCGTGGTAGTAGTTAGATAAGAGGGCGAGACGACATGGCGCTGGAGGTGGCGAAGGCTGACAATGACATGGTGAAGGCCTACCAAGGTGTTGAGGCCTGCCAAGATCTATTGCACAGTGCTGTCATTCATCTGAAAGATTCAGAGGCAATGCTCAAGGCTCTAGTTGACAGCCACTTTGAACAAGATTGAAAAGATAGGAGAGAGGCTGCTTGTAGCTGCTGCTGCAAAACTTTTTGTTTTAGTGTTAGTGCTGTTAGTGTTGTTGGTTAAGTGAAGATGGTAGCAGCCTAACATGTATCCAACTATTTGTAAGACTTTGTTTATGAACTTGTTTCCAGCTAGTTGATAAATGTGCAACTTGCCATATGAGACTATAGCAGGCATTACATAAGTTTGACTTTGACATAACAGGTCCATTACCCAGTTCATTACTCATTCTACATAAATGTGGCATTACACAAAAGAAGTCATAACTGACATCACAGGTCCATTACCTAGTTCATTACTGGTCTACATAAAAGTGGCATTACACAAATGAAGTCATAACTGACATCATAGGTCCATTATCAGTTTCTTCTTGCTCACCCTCTTGTTGGAAACATCTTGTGCAATGGTCATAGTCTTGCTTGTTCCCTCTGTAGTAGTCTTTGTTTTCTTGTTGGTCTTGCTTGTCTTGGTTGTGATCAGCTTCTTCATCTTCTTACTCTGCAGCAAGCCTTCAGGTGCATCTACCAACGCCCTTTTGTGGCTGTTAGGAAGTAGAAACAAGGCAAAACATTCAGAACACAAAGAAGTAATAATTCTGAGAAAAATAAAGTGTCCACTGCTTCATGTTACCTTCTAGTGTTTGCTGCTGGGCTGTTTGTTAGTGCTCGTGTTGGTGTTGCAACACTAATGGAATGGCCTTCAATCTGTGACTGTTGGGTGGACACAGTGGTTGTACCACTACATTTCTTTGTCCTCACCCTCTTTGGCTTAGGTGGGGGTGCATCAGAATCATAGACCGTTTCATTACAGGTCTTCATCATATGACTGAACTGACCACACCTCTTGCACTGCATCTGTCTACCTTTCTTACCACCTTCTTCAGAACTTTTGATCCTTCTATTTCTTGGACGCCCTGCAGCCCTTTTGAAATGAGGAGGCCATAGTTTGAAACCCATTTGAACTTTAGGCCACTAAGTTATATCTGTCATTGGGCGTACCACATTCTCATAGGCTTTCTTGAACATAGCAACAGAGTAGTAGTTGTCTACATAATCTTCCACACTTCTATTGCGCATAGAATCAATGAGACAAAGAGCATGAGTATAGGGCAATCCAGTAATCTACCACCTCTAACAACTGCATGTCCTGGTCTCAAGGTCCACAATGTGCCTCCAAGTTTTTAGTTCTTTTGTAGTGCCTTGAATCTTAGCAGTGTTGTTAGGACCTCTATGTATCACATAGTGCAAGTTTCTACTCATAGCATGAAGTTCTTTTGTGATGTGAGGCAAGATCTTGTCTGTCATCCTGCTTGATAGTGTCTTCCTAATATCTTGTTTCTCCATTATCATTTGTCTTATCCTTTCCAACAGTGGGATTACAGGCAGTGACTTCTCATGCCTAATCCAACTGTTGAATGTCTCTGCTATGTTGTTAGTAATATAGTCACACTTGTTTGCATGAGAAAACTTCCATTTGGCCCATAAGTGTCTATGGTTGTCTTCTATCCACTTCATAGCCTTTGGTGAAGCTTTCTGCATAAATCACGCCGGCTAACCAAAACATATGCGAAATTAAAACTATCGATCTAGCTAAGACCACACCCCTCTATCTAAGTTCTCAAGCACCTTATAAAGATCCTAATTAGGAAACAAAGGTGCCGGGCTAGCTAGAGCTCACCTAATCAATTCTAGAGCAAGGTCACACAAACCTATGCAACTAGTACTTCAAGCATGAGGGTGGGAGCTCCTACACATGCTAGTAAGCAAAAGCATAGAGCCACCTAATCTCACTAGCAATGCTCAATAACAAGGCTACACAAGCTAAATTATAGAGCGCAAATTACTTAGCTACACAAACTAAGCAATTTGACTAACAAGGTTACCCAAACCGAATTAGTCACGCAAGGGAGCTACTTCTATGCTACACAAGCAAGAAGGTAACTAGCAAGCTACACAAGCCAACTAATTACAAGAACAACTACACAAGAACAAAGTACAAGAAAGTAAATACAAGCTTGTGTAACGGGGATACAAACCAATGGGAAGAACAATGTTGACACGGTGATTTTTCTCCCGAGGTTCATGTGCTTGCCAACACGCTAGTCCCCGTTGTGTCGACCGCTCATTTGGTGGTTCGGCGGCTAATTAGCATCACCCGCCAAGCCCACACGTTGGGCACCGCAAGAACCTACCCACAAGTGAGGGTAGCTCAATGACATGCTCTACTAGTGTTGCTCTTCGCGGCTCCCGTGGGGTGAGCATAACCCCCCTCACAATTGCTTCTCCGGAGTACCGCACAATCTTCTTTGCGTGCTTCGATGGAGACCACCACCAAACCATCTAGGAGGTGGCAACCTCCAAGAGTAACAAGCACCACTGGCTTGCAACACGATCACCTAGTGCCACTCAATGCAATCTCACAATGCAATCGCACTAGAATCACTCACTCATAATCGGATGCAATCACTATGTGCACAAGTGAGTTAGAGGCTCCCCTAGCACTCCCCAAACATGGACACTAAGTCCCAAGGGTGCCAAGCATGTGCCAAGGCTGGCCACACACTCCTTTTATAGCCCCAAGGGCTAAAATAGCCGTTACCCCCTTCACTGGGCACTTTTCGTACTGACTGGACTCGCTGCTGTAGTGACCGGACACATAGGTCGCAAAGTCCGGTGGCTCCTCGCGCACCACATGTACTAGCCATTCAAAGATGACCGTTGCTCGCCAATGACTATCTCCCGCACGCGCAAACTCCTGACCGGATGCGCCTAGGTCCAGTGATAGGATGCGCCGGGGCCGAGTCCGGTCACCAACACGTCTCTACACAACTGACTAGACTCTCCTTTCTCCTATGATAGGACTCGACTCTCCCAGAGTTCGGTCACATCTAGAGAGGTTCTAGAGAGCTCTTTTGATGATCGGACGCGTTAGGTCATCACTGACCGGACTCACCGAGCGTCCGGTCGCTCTAGCTAGTGAAAGAAACACTGGCCGGACTCGCAGGTATTGACCGGATGTGTCCGGTCGTAGAGTCCTCTCACAGACGTTTCAACGCTAAAATGACCATATCTCTTAGCTCCGAACTTCGAATTCGGTGACCTTACACATTTTGGAAAGCTTACTCAGAGGGATACACATCCCACTTGCATATTTGATCCAAAGCACAATGGATCAATGCATAATTCTAATCCAAGGACCATCATATAGTTTGAAGTACACCGAAAACTCTTTTTCTCTTCTCTAAGTTGATCCAATTCAACTCCAACAACTTCTCCTTTGCAAATGTGCCAACACCACCAAGTGTACAATATCATGTGCAAGTGTGTTAGCATTTTCACAACCATTTTTAAGGAGTTAATCACTCAATTCACCACGCCACTCGATCCTAGCAATGATGCAAAGTTAGACCACTCGAGTGGCACTAGATGACCGATATGCAAATAAGTTTGCCCCTCTTGATAGGAATGTTTTTTAGGCGCTAGGCGGTTTCTAGGCGGTGACCCATCACCTAGCGCCTAGGCATTTTATGGGCGTTTTGACCTTTTTTGTATTTCAGCATATATAGCTGAATAAATTATATAAATATAGTAGCCAAGTGAATTTTATAAAAAGAGAAAAGGTCCAATAGACATACCTTAGTTGATACAAAAGTGATAGTTCATAGTTGATAGTTGATACAATACAAAAGTGATGTAAAAATAGAGAACATAATATCAGGTTAAATACAAATAGGACCATATATGAACAATACTGATACAAAAATAGGAATGATCTTAGGTACTTTCTGAATGATCCATCCTACATCAAACATTATCAGCAACAAATGATAGCCATTTGAAACCACAAATATGTAGGGATAACAGTAGCAGCAAAGAAAATTAAATGGTACAAAACAACACATAATTCAGTTCTTAAAATACAGAAGACAAGCACACAAACTACAGGAGTTCTAAGTTCATAAGTTAAAGATACAAATTACAATTAAAAGATAAACATGACATGATAAAGCCCCACTTCCATATCTTCTTCAATAGGGTTCCATAAATTCATCTTCATCTTCATCAAACTCTTCTTCTTCTTCTGAGTCAAATTCTTCTCCTTCATGAAGTTGTCTCACTCTTGCACTTCTATGCAGCTCAAGTTGTTGTTCTGCTCCCACTGCTTCTCCAATAACAGACCAAGGTATCCCTTTACCTTCCATCTCCTCATCTTCCTCATCTCTATAGACAACTGTTGCACAATCATCTCCATCCTCATACAGAAAACCTTGAGATTCAGTTGTCTCACTAGACAAGAGAACATCAGTGGTTTTCTTTGACATTATCCTTTCTTTCTTATTAAACAACTTGGAGTTGAATTGAATAAATACCAATTTGTTGAGTCGGGTTGTAGTAAGCCTATTTCTCTATTTAGTGTGTATCTACAAATTAAACATGAGAGCATATAACTATTTTCATTCCTGTAAGTTTACTGCTGAAATCTAGACAGTAGATAGGGACTAACCATTTCAAATGTACTCTAATTTCTTTCACAACCAGAAGAGCTTGATGTCAAAGAAAAGATTCTTGTTGCCAACTTCTATAAAACTGGTGTTTTAGTTCCATACAGCCGCCACCAAGATGCTGAAATAAATGAGCTGTAACTCTGTAATATTAGTTACAATAGATGCAAATAGCAAACTTCTTTGCAAGCTTTGTAACAACCATGTAATAGCAGCAACCCTATAACAGACTAACAACCATGTAATATGAGTTACCTCTACCTAGGTTGTAATCAAATTTTTCACAAGTCTTTGTAAGCTTTTTGTTAAATGGTCCTTCTCTATTATGAAACTTCTTTAGTTCAGTGTTGACAGTCTGATCTTGCTTGTCCTCATCATGATGATAAAAAGTCTCTACACAATTGATAAATCCTTCTGTTATTGTGGCATCATCAAAGATTGATGGGTTACCATAGCTGTAGTATGGATTTAGCAGATAGGCAGTCAAATGCAATGGAGAATCAAGTCTTCCTTTCATCTTCCTGTCAATAATAGCAATAACTTCGTTGTAGCGGGACTAAACATTGCCATAGGATTCCTTGATCTCTCTCTTTGCCTTCAGTAGTTCTCCATATAGGAAACCCATTGATGGCTTCACATCCCCATCAACCAAATGAAGAACTTTGACCAATGGCTCAAAAACACTCAAACATAGCTTCACATCCTTCCAAAAGGTTGGACTCAATATTGTTGCTGTTGCATCTTTTCCCTTTTTTGACTTCACATCCTTCAATGTGTCCCACCTATTATGAACCACCATCTTTTTTAGTTGGTTCTTCTTCTCTAGCATACTGTTCAAAGTGAGAAAAGCTGAAGCAAACCTAGTCACTCCTAGCCTTATTATCTCTCTCCCCTCTGTGAAGTGTCTCAAGCACTCCAATGTTCTTGTGTGCCCATAGACAAATATGGCGATTGCCTTTGCTTGGTCAATCACCTTCTTGAACCGTGGCATGTTGCCAATTCCTTGAAGCATCAAATTGATTGTGTGAGTTGCACAAGAGGTCCAAAAGATGTTTGGTATCTTCTCAAGCAATAGCTTCTTTGCTCCCATGTTGTTAGAAGCATTGTTTGTCACTACTTGCACCACATCATCCAGACCAATGTCTTCAATTGCTTTGTCCACTAGTTCAAATATGACTTCACTTGTGTGTGACACATCTGACATCTCTTTTGAGCTGACAAAACTGGATCCATCAGCATAGTTAGTGCACAGGTTCATTATGCTTCTCCTCTTCCTATCTGACCAAGCATCAGTCATAACATAACACCCATTCTTCACCTTCTTAGCTGTAACACCCCGGGTGTTTAAATATTAAAAACAGGACATGTCATCATGTGCATTGCAAGGCATTGGTCATATTGCAAACTTTGATATGCATTTACTAAAATAAGTTTACATTTATGTTATAAGTATTTCTTGGTATTGTTTGAATCAAGTTCGAAATCTTTGTATTGATTTGAAATTCCGAAAACCCTGATTTTCAATATTTAAAATCCTACCCTGAAAACCCATTTCAAAATCGAAGCACATTTTGGGGTTGAGCTTAAAAGCAAAAGTGTAGATCTTGTCAAGTTATACAAAGTTTGTTTTTGGAGTTTTCCAAGTTGTTTAGTAAAATTTGAAGTTATTTGAAAAGGCAAAATTCCTTAAATGTCCCCTTTTCGAATTCAAATTTGTATTTCAAAATGTAGACCGAATTAGGGGGTGGTTATAAAAGCAAAGTTGTAGAACTTTTGATTTTGAACAACTTTTATGTTTGGACATTTTTGAGTTGTTACAAAAATTTAGGAGTAATTTGAGTTTCAAACTGGATGGTAATTTTGTAATTTTGATGAACAGTGTTCACCGCCCTTGCTACATCGCTGGCGACCTTCGGCTTGCTTCGAGGCGCGCGCATGGCGGCCTTGGCTTCGCGCTGGCACAGGGAAGGCATCGTTGTGGCTTCCTTGGGCTTCTGAGTCGCGTTTTAAGCACTGGACCGCCGCCGTTTGCCCTCGCCTCCTCACTCTGTTTCCACCGCTGCCGGTGACCTTGCTGCGCTCGCGAAATTCATCCTCACCGTAGCACCTCGTGCCATTTGCGTTTGCCAACATCTCCGTCTCATCCTCTAGCTCCTTCCTGGCCTGCTCGCCTCGCCTCTAGCAGTCCAGCGCCACCGCACGTCGCTTTCTTCCTCGGAGCCGGCCGAAGCACCACCACAACCGACCTCACCGTGGCCAGGTCACTCCAGTCCGTCTCCGCCTTCACCAAGCATACCGTCATGTTCGTGGTGAGCTCCTGAGCGTGATGCTCTCTTCGCTTTAGTCTCTACCGCGTCGTAGCTGGCGTTGTGTCGTTTGCCACCGTGTCTGCGCCACCGTGGCCGCCATGGCCGGTGTGGAGCTTCCTCCGGTGTGCCTGCTGCTGTTCTGGGGGTCGGGGTAGATTCGCGGGGTGGTGTTGGTCATGCTGGTATCGTCTGCCTCGCCGGAGTCTCGCCGTCGGCACGTTTTGGTCGTCGAAGTCGGTAGCGCCGCCGTGTGGCTCTGTTTTGGGTCGCTGACATGCGGGTCCGGGTCGTCAGTGAGAGAGGGAGAGAGAACACGGAGATTTCCTATTTTCTGGATTTTAAATAGTGCAGCAACTTTGGAAATTTATAGGAAAATAATTACAGCTTCTATACTTGTTTCTATTATGGTTTAAAAATATGAAACTTGAAATTTGAATAAATTTTTAATGTTCAAAAATTCAGTCAATTAATTGATAAATGTAATTTCCATAATTTTTGTAGGGCACTGTATATTTCAAAAAATTATGAAATTTATTTTGGTACACTAATTTGTCATGTGGAGGCTTGCATAAAATTTTGAGGTCATTTGGAACAAGTTCATTTTCAGCTTATTTTCCAAATTAATTAAAAATTGAATGAAAGCAAACCCAAAGTGTTAGGTTAGGGTTTGATCTTGTTTTGGTCATGTTTTGTGATCAGTAGGGTTTCATGATCAGTTTGATCAAGTCACCTAGGTCATAAGGGTCATTTGGTTTTGTTGGCTTGCAACTGTACTGCGAAGGAAAGTTGTATTCAAGTTGTTAATTTTGCATCCATCATCGAGCACCATGTTTCGTATTCCGCATCATGTTAAACATGGCATTGTTACTACGTGTAGTGAACGAAGGTGAGCACATGGTAGTTAATCAAGTAGTTGAGGAGGTTGATCCGTCTTTGGAGGTTGGTATTGATATCGGTGGAACGACTCCGGACCCAGACTTTTCCATCAACGAAGGCAATCCCCGGATGCATACAACCCTACCTTGTATTTTACAAATTGATTTCTCTTTTTCTTCTTTTTACCGCATTAAGTGATTAGGAGTCAAGTGAAAACCGAATTGGTACATTACCAACCTTGTTATTCCATATTTACCATATTACCAGTTTTAAATTCGTATATGCCTAGTTTTGCTTAGCTATGCTTAGAACGATGAAAGTCGGGTGATTACCTGTCACCTGCAAGTTTTAAATGGAACTTTGGTTACTTATGTTATCATGTGATATGGGAATGTGGAGTAATAAATCTAGATCGGGTGGACTAGGTGTGTGTGAGCCACAAGACATGGAGGTCTTGTGAGCGGGTTCTTTCCGCCTGTGTCGATTAAGGTCTGTACCGTTGTTGAATTGCATGAGGTGAGACTTTGTAGTCTAACCACATACTCCGGTAAGCCTTAACTTGGCTATTCTATTACGAGAATGGCTACTCACGCACTGGGAGTAGAGAGATGGTGGGAATAGCGTGTACCCACGTGGCAATGGGCTGGATTGGTGGAGTACTGTATTCTCAGGTGGCGTGGACCCGTTCTTGTTTAGAGGATCCGAGGGTAGGTTGGTATATGTAGGTCGAGGACCTGCATATGTCGTGTGGTCTGGAATCCCCAGCTGGGTTTAATCGGTTCGAATCGTCGTTGCTCCTCGGTTATGGAGACTCAACTCACTGTTCATCATCGTAGTAATTAATAACTTGAACTTGAGGATGGTTTGAGAAGGTGTTGGTTGTGAAATTTCATGATCTCAATGCGGATCGTGTCAGCTTTGTTTATGATCTTAAGAAGTTTTAAACGTTGATATAAGAATTTTGTTAAAAAGCTTTTATGCAAAAGAACCTTGTTTATTGCTAAAGCCATACCTTGAAGTCATGAGCCTGCATCCCTATGTTTTATTAATTCTTATTTCGGTTAAGTCTTGTTGAGTACTTTTGTACTCAGGGTTCATTGACCCATGTTGCAGGTGAGGCTCATGAGCAGATCTGTTTTGGATCGTGCTGCATGACGGTTGTTCCTTGTGATGGCGAGAAGTAGATGTGTGGCTCTTGGACAGAGCAGCTTATTTGTGTGTTCTGTAATATGTTATAATGCCACTCCACTACTTTGGTTTGTAATAATTATCGAACTTAGTTGTATGGTTTGAAACAAATGGTTTATAAACTATGTTATTGTAAGTCTTCCGCTAATTTTACTCTGATGTAGATATTTGAATAAATATTATAATACTGCAATGACTCTGTAATGTGATTCTGCTTGGAAATCGTGGATGATTCGGGGTTCCTCGAGGACACCCGACAGTCTTCTTAAGTTACCGGGAACATATGCATAGATGTCAAAGGTCGTTGGACAGTGACATGTGCATGTGGGCCCTATAATTTAGAAGGTTCTGCCATAGAATGGTATCAGAGCGATCGTTATAAAGTTTTTGTTGTATTGGTTTACGAAAACTTCAAAATGATTTGGGATGACTAAATTTAACTTGTTAATTTGGTCCAAATTGCTTCTGACTTATCTTATTTCTTTCTCACCATTCCTTATTTGATTAAAAAGGTTTTGTGTGGTGGAGTAGTAATCTTACTATGCCCTATATAAAAACAAATGTTGTTTATGTTTTTTTTAAGCTTTGGTGGTTTTGTTCGTATGAACGATTCATGCATCATAATTAATTCACTTGTTACTTCCTTCGTCTCTGAGTCTAGGTGAGTAGTGCGTATGGGTTGAGTTGTGTAGTCCATCCTTATTGCTCTTGAGACTGTTATCAGATTGTTTTACTTGGATTAATCCTGCTTTGTACAGTATGGCTCGTACCAAGATGACACCTCGTAAGTCCACTGGACCCAAAGGAGTTCCTCGTCACCAACTTGCCCCTAGGAATGACGGTGCTAGCAGTAGCAGCTCTAGGCCTGATCCTCAGGCAGCGATACAGAGGATTTCTGCAGAGTTTGCCCAAGCTACTAGAGATAGGGCTATGGACGCCATCCAGGTGGACAGATTATAGGAGCAATTAAGACGTCTCACCACCGCTCACAGGAACTGCGAACGTATGTTAGTTCGTATGGTGGAAGGAAGGAATGAAGCTTGGCATAGGGAAAATGTAGCTAGAGCTAGAACTCATGAGTTAGAATTTTATGTAGAAGACTTAGAAGAGCATAATACCTATCTGCATGAGGAAGTTCATAGGCTAAGCAATCTCCTGGATCCTAATCATGAACCCCAAGCTGATGCAATGGACCCAGGTGTCATCCTTGCCGATGAAAGTGAATCGGAAGAAGAAGAAGATCCCAAAGAATTAGTAATGATCGATAAAAGTGATAATGAAGGCGGTAATATTTCTGGAATGGATACCGAGCCTGAAGTTTGAAGTAATCGCGAAAAGGAGTAGTGTTGTATAATAGTTAGTTCTAGTTTAAGTTAAGTAGTCTTGTTTAAATGCGGTCTTGTGTTTAAATAAGTGAAACTAGTGTAATGAGTTGTAGTACGCTCTTTTATCAATCAATAAAGGATCGTGAGTAAAGTTTGGTTTGTTATGAACAGATGTGTCATACGCGGGGTTCATATATTCCTGATACTTCACAAGATGAGAACGGTATTCCAGATCCGCCACCAGTTCCAACAAATTTAGCGGATGCTATAGCCGCACTTGTCAATGTGACGGTTGAAAATTCTTCGTTTGCTTCATGAGATAGCTCAAAGTAATCAGAATCAGATGTAAGGAAATCGTGGTCGCCATCATAACAGGCAGGAGGCTACATATGTTGATTTTACAGACACAAGACCACCGATGTTCACCAAGGCAGATGAACCACTAGAGGCTGACGATTGGCTTCAAACCATGGAGCAGAAATTTGATCTTATACCATGCATAGAGT